TGTCGATCCAGTTTAGGGTTCAACGTTTCAGGATTTGGGGTTGGAGAAGCCCTAAACCCCTTAACCCTCCTAAACCCTAGGCCCTAAACCCTAAACCCTAAACCCTAGGCCCTAAACCCTAAACCTAAGCCCTTAACCCTCCTAAACCCTAAACCCTAAGCCCTAAACCCTAGGCCCTAAACCCTAAACCCCAAGCCCTAAACTAAACCCTAAACATCCGTTCAGCGCAGCTGAAAGGGAATTGATGTGCAAGAACTCGACCCTCAAGTATCACAGGGGTCTTAAAGTCAAAATGGTATTCCTTAAGGCTCCTTATTTCGGAGTTTCCGAAAATAAGGGGTACTGTATTTTGGGGTCCTTATAATAAGGATCCTACAATTTAGGGTACTATATTAGGGTCCCCTATTTTCAGAAACCCCCTTATTGCTATCGTCGAACATCGCCCCAGAACCCTATCTTGATTACTGGTAGCAAAGACCTACACCAAATTAAACAAAACCCTTATGATGATCGCCCAAGTTGCCCTTAAACCCTAAACCCTCAACCCTAAACCCTCAACCCTAAACCCTCAACCCTCAACCCTAAACCCTCAACCCTAAACCCTAAACCCTGTAAAGGAACCTTTTAAGGAACCCCTAAAGCAACCCATGGTCTGCTGCGCCTCTTGCTCGGTGTAGGACGAGCCGATCAGCGTGAGCCACCGGCCTACCGACTGGAGAGGCTGTTCCGTAGAGGGTTTGGGTTTAGGGTTTAGGGTTTAGGGTTTAGGGTTTAGGGTTTAGGGTTTAGGGTTTAGGGTTTAGGGTTTAGGGGTAGAGGGTTTGGGGTTTAGGGTCAAAGGTTCGGGGCTTATAGGGTGTATGGAGTTTAGGGTCTTTTTGGGATCTCCTTGTTTTCGGGGTCGAGTGCGAGGGTACAGTGCCTGTGCTTATTGAAACTTTTCGAGTTGAACTTGTAAGCCCTACAGCCCTGCAGGCCCTGTAACCCGTAACCATAACGCCCTAAAAAGAACCCCTGTAGCAAAAAACAAGACAGCATTGAGGGCCTGAAGGCAAGCCGTCGCGAGCGCCGAAAGACAGGTGCGGAATTTGCTTCGGCGGGTACAGCCTGACAGTGCTCACTGAGTTTAGGGCTTCAGAGTACGCCATAAGCCTTAAAGAACCTTTCAAAAGCCCTGAAGACACCCTCAAAGTGCCTTAAGGAACCCTGTTGAGAATCCCCCTCTTGGGGCCGGGCAGATGCAGGAACGCATCGAGGATCCGCCGCGCCGCCACGAGCTTCCCCCGCTTCGTGAAGTAGAGGGCCTGGCATTTGAGGTCTATATAGGGTTTTAACGCTACACTCCAGGATTTTAGGGTTTTGCCGCAGGGTGCCAAAGAAAGAGTCGTGTGATTTAAATTTAGGGGGTTCAGTGCATGGGGTTTAGGGTTTGGGTTTGTCAATTCTATTGGGCTTCAGGACTTTAGTGTGGGTTTTAGGAATGTTGAACTTTTGCGGCTTGACAGCTTTGAAAATGCCAGGCTTCATTTAGTGTTGTGTGGTCTTACGATTTGTTCAACTATACTTGCAACTTTGTTCGATGGTTCTGCAAGTGACGACGATGAACCCGAGAAGCTTCAAATGCAAGCAGCAACCGGCTTCTTTTTCGGGTATACTACACCATAGTTACAGTAATGAATGATGCTTAGTACCTAGTCAGACTTCTTCATTTCAGAGTGTAGGATCCTGCGCTCCGGACTGAGTGCCGCGCAGCCACGGCGTTGTCGTAAACCTGTACAGCCCAGGCTAAAGTGGCGGGCTAGGGAAGCAGCTAATTCAAGGTATGCATATGACATATATATATATATATATATATAATTATATATATATATATATATATATATATAATTATAATTATAATTATATATATATATATATAATTTCAGCCCCTTCCAGGCCTATCTTGTGGGTTGGGACCACGTTTACTTGGCGGCTTTCGGGAGTTCGGAGTAGGCTTCGTGCACCAGGGAGACTGAAGGGGACCTGCGAGTAGGGAGGGACCCTAAACCCTAAACCCTAAACCCTAAACCCTAAAGGGACCCACGTTGCCACCAGAGGGCGTCGTAGCGACATCTCTGCGAAACGCCGAACTCCGGGCAAGGGGCCTGGGACGGAGCTCGAAAGCTCCAAGCTCCGTGCATCTAGGGTTTAGGGTTTAGGGCTTAGGGTTTAGGGTTTAGGGTTTAGGGTATGGGTGTTCCGGGAAGTACCGAAATTTCAGCCTGGCATGCTTGTAATAAGACCTCTTAGCAACGTACCGTCTAGGGGTAGAACTTAAAGGACTTTGGAGTTTAGATCTGGGTGATTCTTGAACGTCTTGTGACAACTGACCTGGGCTAAGCCGGTCAAGAACTGGAGACAATGGGTGTGCCTCCGACTGGCTCCTCAGCTACATTCTTCAAACCCCACGCAAGTAACACTCATCCACCTCAAGCTTGCTCTATCAAGCTTGCTCTATGCCTATCGATACCACAGACGCCGCGCAAGGTGATTTGGGGGCTTTACAACCGAAGGGACCCCAGTTTCAATCCTGAGTAGTAGTTGAGATCGAAGCAAGAAAGACTTTTGAGGTATTACCTCGAGTTGTTACGACCATCTTCGTCTCCGCAGTGCACCCAAAGCCCTCAAACATAGGATGCCGACCAAGCACAGGCAGTGCGCAGAGGTCACCGCAGTCACCGCCACCCAATGAGGGCCCAAAAGTCTGCAGCAGCCCTGCACCATTCCTGGGTTTGAAGCTTCCTACAGAATTCGGTTTAGGGTTTAGGGTTTAGGGTTTAGGGAATTGTACAAGGTGTCAAAACACGCGGTGAGGGTAACCAGCCACCGGCATCGCGGCAGATCTTGACACAGGACAGAGAGCAACTGACGTAGCCCAGAGTAGTCACGACACATCACGCGCGCTCAAGTTTGCACATTTGCTTCCTCAGGGCAGCGTTGGTGTTGACCAATGTGATATCAATAGTCTCATCGCACCTCAGCATACCTACCTGAGACAGGTGCTATCCTACAGACCTTTAAGGAACCTATGAAAATAGAATATTGCGAAGCCATATGAAGGCAGGCAAAGGTTTCGGGTGCGTAGGGTGCATTGAAAACATTTGAAAACCCTGTTTCCCTCGGTCGGTGAAGATCTGAGTGGCTTCAAGAAGGTTTGCCGTGGCTGCCGCTCCAAGAAGGTATCTACCTCAGGTCAAGCGATAGGCTTTGCGTTTAGGGCCTAAGTTGAGGCCATAGGCTTTGGATTTAAGGCTCAGGTTTTGGATGCAGGCCTTCGCTCTCATAGTTCCGCTCTGGGTTTCGGATTTCGGGCTACGGTCCTTCACGAGCTTGCACAAGCTCCAGACTTCCATGGCTCCAGCTCACCAACGAACACTGACTTCTCGCTGCTTGCGAGCCTTTGCAGCCTCTTTAGGCCGCCTCCAAGATGCACTGAAACTAAGAATCTTTGGCCCCTTCTTGCAAGGAAAAGAGACAGGGCCCCACAATTTAGGGTTTGGGGTTTAGGGGTTTAGGGGTTTAGGGTTTAGGGTTTAGGGATTAGGGCTTTCCACAATTACTCTACGTAGTCCTTTTTCTCCAGAAGGACGGCCGGGGTTCTGGGGACCTTCCATCGAAGGCACGAGATGGAGATAGCGCTCGGCCGCAGGGCTAGTGGGCCTGACATCGTCAGACCGGGCCATGACCCAAACTGCGGCTTTGAGGGTCTGGTCCACCAAACCTCCGAAAGCTGGAACTTCCCAAGTGACTGGGACCAATGCAAATCGTCATCTCCCAGGGTTTAAGGCTTAGGGTTTAGGGTTTAGGGTTTTGGGTTTAGGGTTTAGGGTTTAGGGTCTTGGGGGTTCGAGCTTAAGGTGTTTGGGCTTTAGTTTTTCAGGGTTAAAGGGTTAGCAGTTTAGGGCTCTTGTAGGATTTATGGCGCAGGGGGTCGCAGTATACAAATCATGTGCCACCTCTTCGCTCATCTTCCTGCAAACATGGAGAAAGCCACAAAACGCATGGTGCTTTCCTGAACCTTTCGTTTCCTGAAAAGCCCAAGAGTCTCCGGGGCCCTCCTCGACCCTCAGAGCCTTCGCACGGCGAATGCCTTTGCTCGGAGCTGGCGCCAAGAGGCACCTTAATCAGCAAACATGCATGCATGCATGCATGCGGACATACGTTATGTACGTACATAAGCACAGACTCCAGGATATTCTAGTATGTGATTCTCACCCGGTGATGGCCACTGAAGGCAGTCAGCAGGACAGAGACGTAGACTGGCACAGGGCGTAAGGGCCCATTGCCGCATCCAATTCTTCTTCTGCGCTGAGCTCCAGAGAGCACCAAGAAGGCTTACGGCTCAAGGCGCGTATGTCCGTCCCAGACATGACTCGTCGTGAGCGGCTGACTAACCGCAGCTGCATGCAGCTGCATGGGCCATGTCCGCTCAGACTTGCAACAGGCTGCGGGTAGTGATGTGGTGCTTTGATTCTCCGGTCCCCCAAAACCCACACCCCGAAATCAGCAACACAAAAAGCCTCGAAGCGCCAAGGCGCCTTCCTCGCACGATGCCTGAGCCCACGCGTCACACGAAACTCTATGATCGAACTAGTTGCCGTCGTGTCCATGACAGAACTCTTCGACTGGAGGGTTTAGGGTTTAGGGTTTAGGGTTTAGGGTTTAGGGTTTAGGGTTTAGGGTTTAGGGTTTAGGGTTTAGGGTTTAGGTTCAGATGAAAACAAAACCAACAAACCGTTGCTGACCTGGGAGCGTTTATAGTGCAAGGCTAGGCGGTGCCCGTCACACCAGCAAATTTCGGGCTCAACATATTTGGGTAGTTCTCTAAATTAGGGTCCCTTCTAGGGTCCTTTTTTATAAGGGTGCCTTACTATATTGGGGACCTAAAATGGAACCCTAATTTGGAGAACTACCTGCCGCCAAGCCACATTCAAAAGGCAGGCATCATCCCAGACCAGCGATTCGAGGTTCTCAATTGCTTGAGTCTGCTCCTGGGTAGACTTGAAAGCATCGCCGGTGCGAGAGCCGGTGCGCAACACTCCCCTGAGCAAACCCAGAGACTCCAATATCCCTTAATTAAGGAATGTTCCTTAAATTATAGTAGGATCCTTAATATATGATTTAAGGTATGTTCCTTAATTAATTAAGGGATATTGGAGTTTCTGGGAATAGAACCTGTGCCGAGTCTCGAATGTAGCAGCACAACATAGCGCAAGCAAAAGATGTTTCGACAAGACAGGCATCCTGCCTCCTAAGAGCGTTCTTCAGACGTGTTTAAACTGCTTGATGCTCCACACACCTATGCATTTGCAGGCTACGGGTCAGCATGCCTCACTCCCCATGAAAACCCCAAAAACTGCCAAACACACCCAACCATGTCATGGGCTGGCTCATCTGTGCAAAGCCGCGGAGCATCAAGAAAGGCCACTGCCAAGTTTAAACCCTCAGCCCTAGAACCTCAGCCCCACAGACCTAACCAAAGCTGCGGAGCATGAGAAGCCCCATAGACCTGAAGCTGTAAATTCCCAACAAGGGCTCCCAAAGTACTCGCGGAAAATAACCCTAAAACCCTAAAACCCGAAAACCCCTAAAACCCTAAAACCCGAAAACCCTAAAACCCTGAAGCCCTAAAACCCCAAAACCCTAAAACCCTAAAGCCCTAAAACCCTAAACCTCTAAACCCCAAACCCCCCAAACCCCCAAACCCCTAAAACCCGAAAACCCTAAAACCCTAAAACCCTAAAACCCTAAAACCCCCAAAGCCCTAAAACCCTAAGACCCAAGCAGATCTACATCCTGACGCGACACGAGGTCAGGGCACAGATCCCAAACTTCCAACCTCGGACTTTAGCGCCTCTTGTCCTGAGAATCGGGGTATGCTAGCCTATAATGCTTTGGGTTTAGGGTTTAGGGTTTAGGGTTTAGGGTTTAGGGTTTAGAGTTTAGGGCATAGGGCTTATAGGGTTTAGGGGTGTAAACAGATTCTAGGACAGGTACAAGGAAGAGTAGAACGAAGTGCTCAAGCCTGTTATGTAACCCCTTAACCCTAGACCTCAGCCACCGAGCCCCAAACTCAGTGGGCCAGGACAGGAAAGCATTTACTTGGATGCAATCCCGAAGAAATCGTATTAAATGACATCCTCTACAGTTCCCATACACAACAAGAATATGAGTGGTTGTCAAAATTATGGTCCCTTTTTGGGTCCGTAGTATAATACGGCACCTATTATTGAGGGTACCCCAAAAGGGACCATAATTTTGACAACTACCCATAGGTCAGAGGCCCTTGCAGTCCCAAGAAGAGAATGCTAGTACAATATCTCCCTACAGTCCACAGAATTCAAGATTGTCCTAATAACAAGAGACTATAGCCTCAAAATCCTCTTCCCATAATAACCCCGGAATCCCCTCCTGAACCCTATAGACCCTAAACCCTAAACCCTAGACCCTAAACCCTAAAGCTAGACCCTAAACTAAACCCTGAAGACCCGAATCTAGACCCTAAGCTAAACCCTAAAGGCCCTAAGCCCTCAATCCTAAACCCTACACCCTAAAGACCCTAAACCCTAAATCCTAAACCCTAAACCCTAAAGACCCTAAACCCTAAATCCTAGACCCTACACCCTAAAGACCCTGAACCCTAAACCCTAAATTTAAATCCTAAACCCTAGACCCTAAACCCTAAAGACCCTAAACCCTAAACCCTAAATCCTAAATCCTGAACCCTAAACCCTAAACCCTAAACCCTAAATCCTAAACCCTTTAAAGACCCTAAAGACCCTAAAGCGACAAAGGGGAGGCCCGGCACCGACGGTGATGTGATCTTCGCTGCCGGACTCGTCCTGGCAGCCACGGCCCTCCCCTCCCTCGGAGACGATTTCAGAATCGAGAGTTTAGGGTTTAGGGTTTAGGGGTTTAGGGGTTTAGGGTTTAGGGGTTTAGGGTTGACGGGTTAGGGTTCAGGGTAATTGTGCTAAGGCTATTACGCATCCTAATAGCTGCCTGAGTTTGAGCAACACAACCAACGGCAGCAACAAACACGAAAACGCGCAACCACACCACCAAAAAGCTTGGGTCGCCCTTGTCAGCACCGCGGCTACATCGGGCCTTGCGGAGGAATGTGACGTGGGGACTCTTCAACTCCTTCACCACGTGGAAGTTCGTCACAACCTAGGGTTTAGGGTTTAGGGTTTAGGGTTTAGGGTTTAGGGTTTAGGGTTTAGGGTCACAGGCAGTCTTCAAGGCTTAGTGCTCACCGTCCTGCGTATCGTCAGCACCAGGATAGCTGAGATGTGTTAAGAAGGTCTGAAGGTTTGGCTCCAGCTCTCCTGGTGGGAGGCGGGTTGTGCTATACCTTAACCTACCAGAACCTATTTTTTTGTAGGGTCCCTATAAATCCCATATTCGGGTTTATAATAAGAACCTACAAAAAAGTGGGTTATGGTAGGTTAAGGTAGTGGCTTTTCCAGACACCCTGTACCTGTGCCCGAGCTCTGCTGGACGGGCATACAGGCATAATCTCTTCTTCGAGCCCGTTGTGCCAAGGATTTGACACGGCACGGAAAAGCCGAACTGTGCGCGCACGCAGACAAACACACACACACACACACACACACATTTACTTAGACACTGTTTAACAGATACTTCTCCAGCATGAGGGTGTGCGAGACGTCAGCTTGCTCAGCTCGCGTTCTTCCGCTCGCGTTCGGAGAGACCATCAGCCACAAGTCTCCAAAGAACCTTGCACTGACGTTTAGTACTTCCAGTGTGTAAGACAAGCCAGGCTCTCACTCCTGTACTTCCTTTCATTCTGACCGCAATGGGATTCGGCATTTTCGATGCTCTAGGTTATAGCAATTTATAGCAGGACAGAAACCCTTAAGGAATAGCACTTCGAAGTCCTGTCCCTAAACCCCAACCCTCTTGCGCCCTGTTAAGGCGCAGGCATGCGAGGCATCCCAGACGAAGCCAGTGCCAGTGGGACCCGGCGCCTTGATGATGATACCAACAATACTCATAGATAGTACCCATCTTATAATGGGTATGGTAGGATTATACTAACAAATACTCATAAAACCCATAATATGCGCAGAATGCTGCTAATGCGGGTATGGTGTTGGTGCTTACTACACTTTCCTCATCCTCCTCCTCCTACTACTACTACTCCTGCTACTACTACTACTACTACTACTACTACTACTACTACCACTCCTACTGCTACTGCTACTGCTACTGTAACTGCTACTGCTACTGCCACTGCCACTGCCACTCCAACTCCAACTCCTACTCCTGCTGCTACTACTACCACCACCATTGCTGTCGTTGTGGTCGTCGTAGTAGTCTAGTAGTAGTAGTAGTAGTAGTAGTAGTAGTAGTAGTTGTTGTTGTTGTTGTAGTAGTAGTAGTAGTAGCAGTAGTGGTGTTCAAGGGTTTAGAACGTAGGGATTTGCCGGCTAAGGTTGCTTTAGGCCCTGGATTGGACACCGCGACGCGCGAAGTTAACAAGGGAAGTAGCCTCTAAAACAGGAGCTCCGAGTTTCGGGGTTTGGGGTGTAGTGGTTTAGGGTTTAGGGTTTAGGGTTTAGTGGTTTAGGGTTTAGGGGTTTAGGGTTTGGGGTTAGGGGTTTGGAGCTTGGGGTTCAGAGTTGAGACCCTAAGCCCTAAACCTCCCGAGTTTCGGGCATTCTTCTTGCCTTCTGAAACACTGAGAACCTCGGCACAGGATGGGAGGGCAGCCGGGCATTAGATTTCAAACTCTGCAGATTGGAACCTGCCATCTGCGAAAGCAAGCCAGTCTTCCGTGGGTATGTTGAACCTGCATGCATTACGAGACATCACAAACTCCCAAACTGCAGTCTTTCAGTCTGTGGGAACGAATCCTTCCTTCAGCCGTGGAACACTGGGTGAGGCCGTCATGAAGAGGTTGGCCGCACGCAGCTCCTGCAATGGCAACGGCGGGCCCTGCTGGCGGCTCGCCAGTTTGGCGGTTCGCGTCACCGACATGACGACATCCGCACCATCACACGCCTTCTGGAGCACCGGACTTTACTCATGGCGAAGCACCATCGGTCATCAGATTGCTGTGGCTCTGTTAGTCCTTCATTGTCGTCAATGCAATCACGATTCATAACATCGTTTACTCTCATCGTCCTCGTCCTCGTTTTCATCATGCTCATCATCCTCTTCATGCTCATCATCACAGTCACCATCACCCTCATCATCGTCGTCGTCACCTAGCTTCAACATAATAAGTATCAACTTCGCCGTGTCACTATCATCATACTCGCCATACTTGCCATTGTCATATTTGGAAACCCAAACTCTCAACCCCAGATCCTAAACAAAGTCGCCATATCAGACAACCTAGAGCGGTGAAACCCAGTAGATCCCGACAGCTTCTCACCACCACTTCGTGCAGCCTTGGGTAAGGGCCATAGTCACTGAACGAGTACATTATGTAGGGCCGACAAGCGTTTCAGGGTGTATTGTAGTATACTTTAGGTACTATAAACGGGTGCCACCGAAACGAAAACTCTGAAAGTCTTTCGGAACCCACTTATCGTTACGCATCCTCGGTGGTGAGAGCATTGGCCCGCTCGGGAGCAGCGACCTTGCTAACAGAAGAACGACTCCATGGCGTGGTGTCCATGTACAACATAGAACATACATACATACATACAT